CCTAAGGGGCAGGATATTCGCCAAGGTGGAGATTTATTAGGTATTGTAATTATTTTGGTAATTATACTAGGGTTACTTTTATATTATGTAATTGTAACCTATTTTTTATTCATTATTTGCCAATAATAAGAAAAAAGTCGCTCATCGCTCCCGATGATGTAGGCACCTTGGTGAACCTAGTTAAATCTAGTGTTATTTTTTTCTTTACTGTTAGTTTATTTCCTGTGTCACTTAGCCTGATTTCCCAACAAATATCAACATGATTATATGTAGCACCCATATCATGTATACCTTTCCGTACACGAGATACAGAGGTCACATCACTTTTAAAACAATTTGTCTTTTGGAAACCCTTAAAAGTTTATTTCAAAATTTAAGTTAAAACATTTTATCAAAATCATAAAACAATCATCACAATATACTACCAAAAATTTCCCTTTGTATATACATTACATAGCATTTTTCTTTAAATTCGATTACATGCCAGCAATTGTTCAAAATAAACAATGATTGTCATACTGTTACTGATGAGAGTCAATCTTAGCTTTATGATAGCTTATACTGTACCTCGTATACAACTAGTATTTGCTTTTACCTACGCGTGAAATCAACACACGTTAAGTATTTACTTAGTGAGGCATACTATTATAAAGAAACAAAAATTTATATAAATGTATCTCGTGACTATTAAATGACAAATTAAATCGTATAATTCCATAAGGATCAAATAACTCCTTCCCAGTGCAACCAAGTTTCTTTTATACACTCATCAAATTTATTCTTAGTAAGTCCAACCTACCTATCCTTCCATATACTCTTTCCAATCATTATTTATTTGGTCTATGTACGTTAAATGAGAAAGTATTACACAAGTATTGCACCAAAATGCCAATTAGTCCATTATCTGTTATACTTATCATGAAATGGCACCTTATACACCAATAATATATCATTATGTATTTTTATTTGTGGCATCATTTCATGTCAATTAACACGAGTAAGCAATTAACCCTTTATCTAACTGGCAGGATTGGCACCTTTCTGTCAATGCACAGCTAGGCCATTAATCTATTTCATTTTAAAATTCTATAGTTTACACATGTGGTACCAAAACATTCAGTCCCCAAACATTACTATTATTTACATGGATTGTACACCCACTACCAATATGGAAATTCATAAACTTCTTATGATTTTCTTAGTTTTTGAACTAGTTCGTATCATCCATAAGGATTAAGTAAGTCCATATGATTGAAACCAACTTTTTTCATAATCTTATCATATACATCCTTAGTGCTAATGTGGTAATTTACCAACTTTCTATTCATTTCATTTATTAAGATGCACCCATAGTTCTTATACGGTTATTCATCAAGTCATGATGAATTTTGTGGATTTTTACACATAGTGCCTTGTATGGTTATTCATCAACTCATGATGAATTTTGTGGTTTTGCACACATAGTGCCTTGTACGGTTATTCATCAACTCATGATGAATTCCGTGGTTTTTCACACATAATGCCTTGTACGGTTATTCATCAAGTCATGACGAATTCCGTGGATTTGCACAAATAGTGCCCTGTACGGTTATTCATCAACTCATGATGAATTTGTGGTTTTGCATACATAGTGCCCTGTACGATTATTCATCAACTCATGATGAATTCTGCGGTTTTGCACACATAGTGCCTTATACGGTTATTCATCAACTCATGATGAATTTCGTGGTTTTGCACACATAATGCTATGTACGGTTATTCATCAACTCATGATGAATTTTGTGGTTTTGCACATATAGTGCCTTGTATGGTTATTCATCAACTCATGATGAATTCTGTGGTTTTGCACACATAGTGCCTTGTACGGTTATTCATCAAGTCATGATGAATTCCGTGGATTTGCACACATAGTTCCCTGTACGGTTATTCATCAACTCATGATGAATTCTGTGGTTTTGCACACATAGTTCCCTGTACAATTATTCATCAACTCATGATGAATTCTGCGATTTTGCACACATAGTGCCTTATACGGTTATTCATCAACTCATGATGAATTTCTTGGTTTTGCACACATCTCTATACGGTTATTCATCAACTCATGATGAATTTTGTGGTTTTGCACACATAGTGCCTTGTACGGTTATTCAACAACTCATGATGAATTCTGTGGTTTTGCACACATAGTGCCCTGTACTGTTATTCATCAACTCGTGATGAATTCCGTGGTTTTGTACACATAGTGTCATGTACGGTTATTCATCAACTCATGATGAATTCTGTGGTTTTGCACACATAGTGCCCTGTATTATTATTCATCAACTCATGATCAATTCCGTGGTTTTGCACACATAGTGCCTATTTGGTAATCACCATACATATATTAAGCAATCATACATCTATGGCTAGTATAACATATCGAGGAACATAATAAATGCACTCACCTAACTCTCCTTGCTATATATCCATCAGATAATGCTGATTACTCTGGTACTTTGCCTTTGCCCTTAGATTTGCTTGTTTCAGGAGCTTGGTTTCGATCTACTCAAACATTCATAAAAACATATACCATACCCAATGTTAAAATATTTTCTAACCATTATACTTAAACAATACTAAAAAAATATATCATTAACTTTATACACCAATATCAACCTATTTTAACATTTCTAGCTCCATAGTATCGATACTACTACCCTAGTACCGATACTTCTATACTATGGTATCGATACCTCATTCGGGTATTGATACCAAAAATAGGTTCGATGTTGCCTGGTATCGATACCCTTACCATGGTATCAATACTACCCTAATATGGTACCGATACCCCTTACCGATATCGATACCAAAATTAGATTCGATGTTCCGTGGTATCGATACCCCTCATCATGGTATTGATACTACATCATCGGTATCGATACTGATTGAATCAATATCGGTATTACTCATCTAATTTATCTCATTTTAGCCTATAGTATCGGTACTGCAGTACCGATACTCTAGCCCATAATTTCTAGTTTTCAACTCGATTTTCATCCTAATGTGGTCGATTCCCGTTATATTTACCCCTTACAATACCATTAAACTTTTTTTTAACTCTCCATACTAATATTCCTTTATTTATCCTCTTAAAACATCTAAAATCATTCAAGAACATTCAATTATAAGAATCAAACCACTTTTTCTAATATGTTCTTAATACTATCCAATGTTTCTAATTTCTTAATTACCACTTTGACAAGTCAAATCTACCAATAAACATCAACAAACACTCATATAACAACATATCCTTTTAAAACCCATTTCTTTAAATCTCAAATATTTTAGTAATCACTTAGTTTTAATCCTATTTAAACATTCCTTAAGCTTCCATGTCACTTAAGGTTTCAAAACTATCTCATAATCGAAAGGAAAAACTGATAAATTGAAGTTTACCTTTGGAGCTATGGAGGAGAGCAAAACCACAGGAAGAAGAAGAGGAATAAAATAGCTTGTTGCCTTATTTTCCCCTTTCTTTTAAATCCCTAATTTAAATGGGTTTTTAAATTCATTTCACTCTAAAAGACCAAAATGCCCTCTTTATTCATCTATTGATTCAATTTATTCTAACATTATTTCAAATCATTTCTTATATTTTATCATTTATTCAATTTAATCCTCCAATATTACATCTTTGCAAGAAAGCCACTGACCTGCTATTTGGGGTATTACAGTATAAGTAAGTTCCATCTTGATCAGTCGTGACGTTGTCAAATCCCACCTTGAGAAAACATAAATGAAAGAACGACTAAGCAATCGAGAAAGAAAACAAAAAATGTGTCATATAGACAGAGAAAAACATACCACAAATGTTGAATTATTCTTATTAAAAAATTAAAAGAAAAAGAAAAGAGAATCGACAGACGACAACTATGAATTTTAGTCACTCATTTATAAGTTCTTTTACATGACTATCCTTTCTATTTTATTTTTATATTTTAAATATCAGTGGAGATATGAATTAAATTTAACACATGGTGAATTTTAGAGTTCAAATTATGAGGTCTAAGGAGTTTAAAGATTAATGGTGTAATTTCATAATTTTGACAAATATGTTCGTGAATGTTAAATGAACATATTGACGAACATATTATTTGTGAAATAAATATATTCACAAATACTAAATGAATCAAACACGAACATCTTAAAAAATAAACAAACAAACATGAACATTACTGACGGAGCCGGCTTGTGATGAGGGGTGTCATACGTCACTCCAAAATCTTTTGAAAAAATCTTTTTAAATTTAATATAAAAATATTTTTAAAAATAAAATTAATATACTTTTTAAAAAATATTGACAACCTTAAACAAAAATTGACACTCATTATTTATTTTCATCTGCTTAATTTTTTTTATACATTTTATAAATTTGACACCCAAAATTAAATTTTCTCTAAATTTAACACCCAAAATAATTTTTCTAACTCCAACCCTGTTGAACACAATATTAAAAATTTAAACAAAATATGAACAATTTAAAAACTAAACAAACAAATATAAACACAATTTTATTTGTACAAATTGGATTCTTTTACAATACTAACTCTAATTCATATTCGTCAAACTGTTATTAGTAAGGATAAATAGCATTTAATCTTTAAATAACTATTTCTTAATTTAGTCCCTACAATATTTATTGGTTCACATTAATATTATGACTTTGTATTTTTTCCAATTTGATGATTAAAAGTGGTACACTATTTTTTGATTACGTTTCATCATTATTTTAAAATAAAAAATATAGTATTTTACGTATACTTTTATTCTTTGAAAAAACGAAATTTAAATACGATGACTAAACTAAAAAGAGTTTTAAAGTTCTGAGATCAAGGTGGACAAAAGAACTAAGAATCAAATTGTAATTACTTTAAAGTTTAAGGACCATCCCTTTATATATTCCTTTACAGACGTCAAACATGTTCTCCTCTCTTTCTCTCTCTGTCACGGTCCTTATTAGATTCCGTTTTTTTTATCTACTCAAACGGTAGCCGAACAGCCTGCTCGCTTCGCATGTTATTGTCATTTTCCCACTAACTTTCTCAAGAAAATTTATTTTTCTGGAGCGAGTTAGGGGTTATATTAAAATACTTGTAGAGAAGTAGGGATCATGAGCTTTCAAGATCTGGAAGTTGGACGGCCTTTGGCGACGCGCCAAAATCTGAACAACGGCAAGCAAGATGCCACCCAAGCAGTGGCGTCCGGCATTTTCCAGATCAACACCTCCGTCTCTACCTTCCAGCGACTCGTCAATACCCTCGGCACTCCTAAGGACACGCCTGAACTCCGAGAAAAACTGTGAGTCTTTGCCCAATTTCAGTTGTTTCGATCGCAATTTTAACTGATCACGGGATATAAATATGATACTGGTGTGATTTTGAATCAAGTACATAATATTGTTGGTTTAATTTTATATACGACTTTCTTTTTTGGGTGTTTAATTAGGGGTGACATATAATGGCTTTTGTCAAGTTCAATTTGACTTTACTTTTGAGAAAGCTCAGCGAATTATCATTGTCGATTGGATGAATGTCAGAATTCTTTTAACAATTACATAAGTTTTTTGATATATAATGTTGGGTTTTGTATTTTCTTGCTCACTCAATGGTCTCATCATTGTATTGCATGGGCAACGAGTTGCTATCTTTCCAATTTCTTGATTGATTTTGACTATATGGTGTAATTAGGTTTATGAGTGGGGAGTATACCTAACAAATCTCACTTGGCAGGCATAAAACGAGGCTACATATTGGACAATTGGTGAAGGACACTTCGGCTAAACTTAAACAAGCTAGTGAAACACATCATCGTGCTGAAGTTAGTGTAAGTTTATTTTTTGGTTATGATTTTGGGTTTCATCGATCAGCCTTCTCTTTTACCTTTTAAGTCATTGAAAAGAAGATATGACTGTACTGTTTGTTGTTCATTCATGATGTTCCTCATGCTCTATATTTCGAACTCATGGTAATTTGTACATGGGTTATTGAATTTTTTTTTATAACTGCTCGACCAATCCTCTCTGGAAGTACTCGATGCTCTTTATATCCTTGTAATTGTAGGCAAGCAAGAAGGTAACTGATGCCAAACTTGCAAAAGACTTTCAAGCAGTTTTGAAAGAATTTCAGAAAGCTCAACGGCTTGCCGCTGAAAGAGAAACAGCATACACTCCTTTTGTTCCCCAAACAGTTCTTCCTTCAAGGTATTTAGCATCTGAGAGTTTACATGTACTTAGATGTCCAAGTGATTTGAATGCTTTTGTGCTCATGGCATACTTGGAAATTGAGTCAATAGAAAGTGGTTCAGAAAATCCTTAATAAAACATTCATATTGATTACTGAATTTTCTTTCATTTACTGGTTGTAAATAGCCTTCCACCTTCAGTCGCTTGTCGTCCTCCGACCACCGTCCGTCGTCCTCCGACCACCGTCCGCCGTCTTCCGACCACCGTCCGCCGCCACACTCCGACCTCCTTTTGACGCCGTTTTTCTCAAGGATCTTCGTCTACCCACAGCTTTTCCTTATTCATGGTTCTTTTTGTTAGATTCCTCTTCAATCGGAGCAAATCTACTTGCCTTCCTCCGCCGTTCTTTTCCACCAGCAGTTTTCCGAGTTTCGTTTCAACCGTTCCACTGTGCTCGCCGGAAGCTCGTGACAAAAACCCAAGTTCTCTACTGTGAATACCCACTGTTGGTCAACGAAAATCTTCTTGAGAAAAACTTATTTTTCCAGATCGCCATTGCTGGCTCTGGGTTTTCACGTGCGGAGGCATATCTTACCTAGCATTTTACTTCTCTGGTTTTTTCGTTCAAATTTGCATTCAAAATCTAGGACAGTTTGTCAAGTCTCTGGGTGTTTTATTTCAACAGTCATTCATCATGCCAAGTGCTGGAATCCTACCTTCTCTCAAGCTGAGACCTCCGATTCAAGTTCCTTCACCCTCTGCAGTCGCGCATTCTCTGTCATCTCACCCTTCTCATCATGATGAGGTTCGTACTATCTTCATTATGGGTATGCCTGAAGATGTCAAAGAGAGAGAGTTGCAGAATTTTCTGAGATGGCTTCCAGGTTTTGAAAATTCACATTTGAGCTTCAAGGGAGATAAGCCCAAGGGTTTCGCACTCTTCTCAACTGTTAAATTTGCAGTTGATGCCAAGGATGCCCTTCAGAAAATGGTTTTTGATGCTAAGTTGAAGTCCTTTTTGCACATCGAGATGGCAAGGAAGAATCTTGTTGTTAAAAGTGGAGTAGTTACAGATTCTGATTTTGACAAGTACGGAGGTTTTCCTGTTCCTCCAGTACTGCCATTGCCAATTCCAGCTTCTATAGCATCTCCTAGTATTCATGTGCCAGTTAAAGAGGTGTACTGCGATGAAAAATCTGCAGTAAATGGTGTACACGAGGGATCCAGGGAGTCAATCACAAAGGGGTGCAGAGTTGACAAGTCTGGATGCTTCACGTTATTTGTTGAAAATTTACTAGAGAAGATTCATTGGGAGAGGTTTGGATCTCTTTTTTGCTCTCATGGTCGGGTACTTGATGCTTTTATTCCAAATAAAATGAATTCAAAAGGAGTTCACTTTGGTTTTATTCGCTTCGCATCAATCGAAGAAGTAAGGAGAGCGATCTCAAAAATGAATGGCTCTCGTATCGACGGCAGCAAAATTTGTGTTTCTTTCGCTAAATTCAAACCTCGACATTCCTATTGGAGAAAGTCATCGATAGGTGTTCTTCGCAAGTCCGGAATGGAAGATGATTCGAGGAAGAATCATTATAAAGTTGAAGGTGTTATAGATGAAGAAAAACTTCAGGTGTTGAGCAATTGTCTAGTGGGGTGGTGCAAGGACTTTGTCAAAATTGGTCATCTCGCTAGACAAATGCAAGCGAAGGGCCTCACTGGCTTCACCTTAATGAGAGCTGCTGGTAATGCGATTTTAATGATTTTCGAAGACAATGCTTCATTGAGAAGTGTGAAGAACGATAAATCAAAGATTCTCGCAGAGTGGTTCTCCATAGTCGAAGCTTGGTCAGAGAGTTTGGTAATGGAGTGTCGTCGAGTATGGTTAGTTTGCGAGGGTTTTCCTTTTCACGCATGGAATTGGAATACTTTCAAGAACATTGCTAATAAGTGGGGTTTATTACTAGCTATCGACGAAAGTTGTCATTCTCCATCATCCTTTGATCGGGCAAAAATTCAAGTCCTCACAAAGGCTGATGCGAGAATTGATGCGATGGTGGAATTGAAGGTTGGTGACAACTTCTTCAAGGTCATGGTGCATGAGATAGAACTTCATTCAAACCAAACTCTTGGGCTCCTGAAGAAGACGAGTCTCATTAGATCTTGTCTCTTCAATTGTGGTTTTATTTTAGTTTATATGGCTGAAGGTGTTGCTTTTAATTTGCATTATGTTCTGTTGCGCTGTTTTATTCCTACTGCTGGTGGTGTAATTAGAAGTAAGGTGATTAGACTGTGGCTTTGTATGAGGTTAAGGTGTTTGTTGTAATGGTGTTCATCGCCGTGAGAGGATATTTCGTGGTGTCTTTTGTACGGGTATTATTATCAATAAAATTTGAGGTACTCTTTTCTTCCTTCCAATGTTAATGAGACCTCCAACTTCTATCCAAAAAAAAAAATTCAAAATGCCTTAAACTTTTGCTTGTTACCGTTATTCTCACGTTCTTCCTGTTTTATGCAGCTACACAGCTGGTGAGGTAGACATTGGATCAGATAAAAGTGCCGACCAGCGGGCCCTTCTTGTGGAATCAAGAAGGTAACTTTTTCTTTATGAATTCTTACCCTTTTCATATTGCGATCACTTCTGAAATTTGGACATGGATTTTGGGATTTCTTTCTCACAATTTCTTTCTTTAGTTCATGTTCGTTTGGCAGCTTGCACATGTTTTCTGAATAGATTCTGGACTTATATGAATCGTTATTCCTGGTATTTTCTGTGTGTGTTTACTTGCATGCTTGCCTGTTTTCGTATTTGTGTATAATCTTATTCTTAGATTGGAGTATCATAAATAAAAAAGATCCCTAGTGATGCCTTGTATTACACAATTTTAGATTCTAAATATAAAATTCTTCTGGAGGATGATTGACCACATTCTTTCCCATACATCAATACAGTGTGTGCCTTCAAATTATCTTCTTGTTGATTTTTAGGAATTGGTTATCAAACTACTGCCTTTTACCACGTGTGTTTTTTTTTTTTTGCAGACAGGAGGTCCTGCTGTTGGATAATGAGATTGCATTTAATGAGGCCGTCATTGAAGAAAGAGAACAAGGAATTCAAGAAATTCATCAACAAATTGGTGAGGTGAATGAGATCTTCAAAGATCTAGCTGTGCTAGTTCATGAGCAAGGAACCATGATTGGTAAGGAATTTCATCTTTTGTATTGAATTCACCATGATTGTTTCTGATCTTCTGGGTCATGTCGAAAAGTATTGAAAGTTAATCTATGCTGCAGATGACATTGGTAGCCACATTGAAAATTCAGGGGCTGCCACTGTGCAGGCAAAATCCCATCTTGTGAAGGCTGCAAAGACTCAGAGATCAAATTCTTCTCTGGTAATGTATAATGTTCCGATTCTTCAGTTTCAGTTTTACTGATTATACACTGTTATGAACTGTGGATTTAAAGTCCCACCTCGACAAAGATACACTCTCTTTATCCCCTTTTAATTGGGATAGTGGAACTTGTTTGGGGCTTCTTTGTGGATCCAGGAATTAATTTCCTCTCTTTTTGCGCAGACTTGCTTACTCCTGGTGATATTTGCAATTGTGATTCTGATCGTGGTCATAGTCCTTGCAGCCTGATAAGAAGCTTGTCCGATTTGATCATAGAAAAAAAATCTAGATATCTTTGAAGAACAAAAGGGTGATCATTTTGGTGATGCATTTGGTTGTGTTGTTTTGTGAAGCATGATGTCTGACACTCGTGGTATTAGTATATAGCATGTGGTTATCGGTCATTCATTATATGATATAGTGTAGATTATCTTTTAGCGTTTGTGTTTTGAGTTTGTGGAGGTTGTGTTACAGCTTTTTGTGTCCATCTTTTCTTCAAATTTCGTGTAATGACAGTTATAATTACTTGGGTTTTCGATATATATGCGTTTTACGTGCAACGTTTGTGGTATTCTAGACTGTTTTATTACTAGCATTGTTGCGGTAAGCTAATACTAACACCATCTAATCAATTCCCGCTCCATTCCATTTCAGCGAATCAAACGTACCATAATTATTAAACTCGGTTCTAAATGACTACCATAAAGACCATTGATATGAAGAAATGACTCAGACGAAACGAGGTAAAAATCTTTAAGAAACAGATGTGGAGTCTTGTCTCATAATAACAAAGCTTATAATTGAGAAAGTGATGTTGGCTAAGATTGTTTCATGTTTTGGTGCCCGGCCAAAACATAGATGCGTATTTTCCATTTGACAGTACTGATTCTGGATTTAGCACTGTCCTCGAGTGACCTAAACAAACAACTCTGCTTATCTTGCTTTCCTTCCATGCTGCATCTCAAAGATATCAGGTTCACCGATTTCGACAATAGAATAGCCACTTTCATTAAGGGCCCGCAAACACAAAAAAAATGTATGAACTTTCAGCAAATACCTTCATTCGACAATCAACACCCCTATTCAAGTGCATTTTGCCTCTAGTGACAGTTGCGTCGATTACAAAGTAAATTTGACGTGCTTTTTCTTTCACTTACTTGATATCGTGCATGTAGTGGAAGCAGTATGTTGATTTCCATTCCAGTGTTCCGCATAAACAAGATGCCTGATCCGGCATCGATGTGGACTTCAACAGCGGACCGATTGGACTGAAATGAAGGTAATTCTAAGTTGGTGTCTCCGAAAACAGCTATATTTCTAAATCCTGCAACAAGTAGAACACGCAAATCAACATCGAAAAACAGAAGATGAAGCAAGCCTAGTTTTAACATAATGAATTGTTTGTTTTCTACGATAAGGAAAATCAATTGTTGGTTTACCCATCCGCTTTTGAAGATTTTGAAGCTCAAACGGGTCAGCAAATACTCCAAGGGGTAGTCTTTGTATAACTATAACTTCACATATATGAGAAGGTAATTCAGGAATGGACTCTTCGCCAGTCTGCAATCTGATAGAAAAATATAATTGTCGATGAGAACCGTCTCCAACAAGAGAGAGCTCTCGCACCGATAGCCTCACGCCACGATTCTGGTTTTCGGGAGTCATTCGATACAAACTGGAAGAAAGTTCATGTGCCATAAAATTTTCAAAACTTGAATCATCCAGGTTCTCATAGTTGTCAAAATAAGATCTCATTATATATTTCCCATCATCTGAGTTCTGGAGATCGGACGGCCCGCTTGTTTTGACCTGAAAATTAAGAATGCCAAACTCATTGAAACTCAGCTCATTGGCTCGAGTGTCGAAGAAAATTGCAGCAGAAATAAAGAGTTTAATAACGTAGATGATGCTGACTAACCACACTTGAAGAAACGATGGCACCAGGAAAGAAAAACCACAAGATTGCCAGTTTCCGATGCAGGCATAACCAATTACATTTACATTGTTGGGTTGACATTGAGTAACTGAAAGGAAGAAACCAAATAGGGCGAGAAATTACTTGACAATCACATGGAATAACACTTTCTGCAAAGAAAACGAGAAATCTGAAGAGATCGAAGCAGAATTTAATAGGATCTATCAATCTTGCAATATATAAGGATCACTTTCCATAATTTAAAATGTTCCTCTTCACTCATTTTTTAAAACTTTTAACCCAGGCAACAACATGAGCAATTCCATTATCAACAAGAATTATGATCCAAATTATCAATAGCAAGCCAACCCAGAGCTTATAAAAACTAACAGAGAGAGATTCCAGTTACATAAAAAGGAGATGCAGATGCGGTCGCAAAGCATACTAATGCTTAATCCCACGTAGAGTGGGAAATACATTGGATTAGGTATTTAAGGTTTTTATTCTCCACTCCCTTGTTGAGTGATAGAGAACAAATGGACTTCTCGTGCATTGCCGTTGATGTCTCATTTCGTCATGATCGTGGTCGTGGCTTAATGTGCGTCTTTATCACGTTCACGTGGTTGCTATCTTTTTAGAGAAAATTAGTAAGAAAATTTTCTCTGAAAGAACAAATGAAAAAAATGTGAAAGAATTTTTTTGGTATTTATAGACTATTAAGTCTGTACGAATTTTATATTTGCAGAGAGTAATAAATGTTTAATTAGTTGTATTGAAATTTAAAATTTAAAACAAATTAATCTGTAAACGTTGGAATGAACCTAACCAATTTTACGTCTCAATTCAAGATAAGAATTGAGCTGTTAATTATACAGTTACAAGAGTTACAGAAGTAACTGCAGGAGCTACAAATTTATGTGAGTTATATAATGTATTTGGACGCTTTGAGAGCCAGATTTATATGTTTAATTCATCATTTTCATTTGTTTAAAGATAATAATTACACAGAGTTAATTTAGAGAAATAAAATCAAATTTATTTTGATTTGTGTTGGACAAAAAATGCACATATATTTAGCCTATGAATAGAGATCTCATTTGGCTTCTCAACTCATCCCATAATTCACTCAAATATCTCTCAACTCTCTCAAAGCTTTCTAAGCTGCGATTAGAGGAGCAGTATCACCAGCAATTCAATTCAATTTCGGGTGTATAAAATTTGGAGCTGCCATGTTAACCTCGGGGGACGATCCACTTATTGGAGTGATTACATATATAAGGACAAATTCGTTTCTAAGGCAGTGGTTTTTACCATGATACGATTTCGGTTGATCAAATATTATTTTTATTTTTTTTCTAGTCAGCGCTGACGATGTGATTTTGCAGTCAACTTTACCAATAATTTAGAAATAAATTCATAAACTGTAAATATGACATCACCTTTGAGCAAAATGATTCATGATCTTTCCAAGCTCGACGCACTTGATGGAAAAAATTATCGGAGGTGGTCCCAGTGGATACTGATATTTTTTTAGCAGCTTAACCTGGATTACGTTTTACTCAAGCCACCACCTACAATTCTGCTGACCACCTCAATTACCGGAGACAATACCGATACGGTTCAGTCTGATGCCACTGTTGTTGCGACTGTCGCTACTACCGAAAAATACGAGAAGGACAATAAGACGTTGTGAGGATATCTTATCAGCCACATATCTAACAAATTGTTTGACATGTTCCTTAGAGAAATAAGTGTCAAGGTGATATGGGACACTCTGAAGAAGAAGTATGGTGTTAACGATGCGGGCATAAAGAAATACGTTGTCGGATAATGACTCAAATTTCAAATGACATATGATAATCCCATAATGGATCAAGTCCATGACTACAAGAATCTGGTGGCGATATCGTTATTGAAGGAATGCAATTGTGTAAAGTACTCCAAGACAATGTCATCATCGAAAAGATGCCCAAGTCCTGGTCCGACTACCACAACTCTCTTAAGCTTAAGAAGAGAGATATTTCACTTGAGGAACTGGTGGGCCACATGAAAATCGATGAGGCCAACCGTATAAAGGATGAGGTTATAAGTTCTTTTAGTAATATGTCTTTTAAATATAACTTGTTTGAATCTGGTGGTGCATTAGGGTCTAAGTTCAAAAAACCATGAAATGAGGGAATCCGAACAAAAAGATGAAGCCTCATAAAGACGTAAATTTCAAGAAACTCGGAAAGGCCAAAGCTGATGAAAATACGTTCAAATGTTATGTTTCCGGTCTAGCCAGTCACAAAGCCTATCAATTCCAACACTACTCAGACCATCAAAATGACAACAAGCCAAAAATGCATGTTGCATAGAACAATGATGAGATCATTGTTGTGGTGGTTTCTGACGTCAACCTGGTGAAAAATAGTTCTGAGTGGGTGGTTGATACTGGCACTTCCAAACACTTCTGCGCAAGGAAGGATTTTGTCACTGAGTTTGAGGATGGGAACGGAGGTGAACGAGTGTACATGGGGAACTCCAGCAGTTCTGAAATGTTAGGTAAAGGCAAGGTTTTACTCAAGTTGACTTCCAGTAAAACTTTAGCCTTAAATAATGTTTTGTATATACCTATCTTGCGTATAAATTTAATAAATGGTGGGCTTCTGAATAAGGCAGACATTAACGTTGAACTATATTTTGATATAACAATTAAAGTAAAATGGTTTTGTACTTGAATTGAATTTATTCAAAGTTTTCAAAAATAATTCAAAGTCCATTTAAAAGTGGAATTGAGCATAAAACAATTTTCTGGACAAGAAGTACCAATAATGTTCTTACAATATCGATACCTCATAAATAGTATCGATACTGCTCATATGGTACCGATACAAAAGGTAAGGTAAGTATCGATACTCACTAGGTAGTACTGATACTACCAGTATTGCTCAAATTCCAGAATATAAAAATGGTACCGATACCCAAAGGGGTACCGATACTACTCTACATAGAAGTATCGATACCATCAGTCCCCAACGGCTAGTGACAACTAGTTTATTTAAAAATAACAAAGGTAGTATCGATACTCCCTTTAGGAGTACCAATACCCTATGTTCTAGGCAGTTTTATTTTGCACAAAAATTGATCCTCAACGGCTCCAAAACACTCCCAACGGCTAAAAACGACCACAACAACATTCCAACATATAAATACAAGTTGAGAACACTTGAAGAAGAGATAGAACACCTATCCAAGCAATCAAACACAAGAGAAGAGCTTTTCACTCTTTATTCCAAATCTCTTGTAAATTTTGTGTTTTAGTGAGCTAAATTTTGTAAACACCTACCTTAGAGAGATTTCTTTGTTTACTTCTTTTATCCTTTTGTAAAGGGTTTTTTGGTTTTATCTTAGCCAAGTAAAAAATAGGGGGTTTGTAAAGGTTACTCTTGATCCTTGAAAAAGAAAGAACAAATTAGTGAATTTGTTAGAAAATCCTAAGTGAAGAGCTTAGGTAGTGGAGGTAGACTTAATTGAAAAGTCGAACCACTATAATCCTTGTGTTCATTGTCATATCTTTTACTCTCCTTACTTCCTAAACACATTTTTATCAATTCACCCCTTTTGCAACTCTTTCGGTTGTCATTTTTGAGCTTCTGTAAAACCCAACAATTAAGTTAGTTTTTGAGGCAGATAAGTTTGTTCTTTCCCGAAACTATGATTATGAAGGGAAAGGTTTTTTAAACGGGGATTTATTTGTCAAAAAATCAACTTAATGAGAATAAAGCTACCATCACCACTTATATTATTGAATCCGTTGATATGTGTCATGCTAGAACAGGACACATGAACGTTCATGCTTTAAAGAAATTGAAGAAAATGAAAGTTCTGCATAAACTAGACATAACTAGCTTTAACAAATGTGAAATTTGTATAGAATCCAAGCATGCTAAACCTCAATTTAAGCTTATTTCTAAGAGAAATATTGAATTGTTAGAACTCATTCATACTGATCTATTAGACTTTAGAAACACTGAAAGTAAATGAGAAAAACACCACTATATAACCTTTGTAGATGATTACTCGAGATACACAAAGGTTTATCTCGTTAGAATTATAGACAAGACTGAAAACCTCTTTATTATTTATAAGGAAGAAGTTGAGAATCAATTTGATAGGAGAATCAAACGTCTTAAATCTGATAGAGGTGGTGAATACATATTGAATTTCTTGAAAGAGGTGTGTGAGAAGAATGAAATAATTCACGAAACTTTAGCCCCTTATTTTCATCAACAAAATGATATAGCTGAAAGGAAAATAGAACTTTAAAAGAGATGATGAACCATTGTTGATAAGTTCTAGATTATCTGATAACATGTGGGGGTCGCCATTCTATCGACAAATCATATCTTAAACCGAGTACCTCATAAGAAGTTAGATTATACTCTATACGAGTTGTGGAAATGATACACTCCAAATCTATAATACTTGAAAGCGTGGGGGTGTCTGGCTAAAGTAGGATTGTCAAATTTTAAGAAGTCCACTATCGGACCTAAAATCGTTGATGCAGTATTCATAGGGTATGCTATAAATAGCATCGCATATAGATTCTTGCTTCTACAAGACTATTCTATTTGTGAGCTGAGAGATGTTATTTTCTTTGAAGATTCTCTCCCTCAAAGAAACCTAAACTGAATGAAGAACAAAAATAGAAAACATTTTATCCACTTCTTTTAGTGTACCTGCTAGGCCTACTCAAGAAGTTGAATTCGAACCTAGAAGAAGTAAAAGACAAAGAATTAAAACCTCTTTTGGACCAGATTTCATATTTTCCTTTATTTCTGAGATAAATGATTTAGACTCTCTTTCTGATCCTATAGCTCAAATATTTCTGTTAGATGAGGATCTTAAGACTTATGAGGAAGCTATACGATCTATCGATGTCAGTTTATGGAAAAACGCTATCAATGATAAACTAGAATCGAAAATGTCTAATCATACTTGGGAATTGGTTGACTTGCCTAGGGGATTTAGAACTATCAGGAACAAATGGGTCTTCTGGAAGAAACTGAGGTCATATGGTTCTATTCAGAGGTACAAGGCAAGGCTAGTTTTCAAAGGGT